ACACACACACACACACACACACACACACACACACACACACACACACACACACACACACACACACACACACACACACACACACACACACACGCTCTAAATGTGTTCCCCCCCTTATGTGCCCATCCCCCCACATGGATCACACCTGGCACACACAATACATGTTCAGTGTCTATTCTTTGTATATTTATTGCAGTTTTTCATGTATACCAGTAGTCTGATACAATATGTACAGTTTGAAAGGGTGTTAAATTAAATTTGATGATGATTAATGGTTTTTGTGTTAATGTAATAGCAGTTAAAACAGAACCGGTCAAATTTGACCGCGAACAACAAAGTAAGGGGGGAAACGAAGACAATAGGAGGGTTAATGCTTAAATCTACTGAAGCTTACACGATGTTCCTGCTACACTCCAGACATTAGGTTCACTTCTTAGTCATTGTTCCCCTGCCCTGTTATACAATGAAGTGCACAATCAGCACTGATTGCCGAACAACATCTTATCGAACTCTTTAATCAGGAAGGATTTCGGTAGGCCCCCGATTAATCCTCTGAATTAGATCCTCTCATCAAGGCCCTGAGAGACTAACCTTCCACTTGGACTTGGCGAAGTTCTTCTGGATCTGAACGCTGACAGAGTAATAGATGTCCTGGCTCCGCGCCGTCTTTCCAATAATCCTGAAAACAGATGACGAAACAGAACGGTTAAATATATTTCCAGGTAATGCTAATCCGCTGTGACCTGACACTGTGAGGATACTCTCCTGTAATAGCTGGTTATTTTGGTTGTAGTTTCACTTAGATGTTATAAATCGAACATGTTGTTTCACTGTCCTTTGTAGAGGAACAACAGCTGCTATTTGGGATTACTTTGAGATTTGTATAACTTCAAAAAATAAATGTTTTGTGTTATTTTACCCATGATTCAGTAGTTTAAAGACGATGTATTGTGAAAATAACTGCCTTTATCACAATTGTAACTATATTGCAGGGAATTATTTACTACTATTATAAAAGTAATGTAAGGGTAAAAGACGAGACAATTTAAGAGTTACTTGCCAATAACAAACTGTTAGTGTCTTAATTAATATCCAGAGACAATGAGGATGAGATGCCTCTTTTACTTTAGCAGCTTAGAGATTATAAAGAATTTACTTTATTTTCCTGATCATGCAAACATCTGTGTCAGCATGCACTGTTATTAAAAAATATATAAAAACCTAAAACATCTTCTATTTTAGGCTCATTGTTGGACTGAGTAAAGAATAACAGTAGTAGATAACTAACAAGAGAAAAAATGAATACAAAAATATGTCAAGAAATGTTTAAAGTTGCATTATTTCTGGTCAGGCTGCTTAACCACCACACATAATGCAAAACACACTTTATATACTATTTTTATATCAATAAGTTTAACTATTTATTCCCCCCTTATGATTGTTTATGTTGTCTGTCCTATTGCCGTGTTTTTTAGTGTTATGTATGTGTATTTTTTGCACACTGGGACAGAGTTGCTCTCAGAATCTCGTTGTACTCTGTGCAAGGGTGTAACTTTGGTTTGAGAAGTGGGGGGGACACAAAACAGGGGGTCCTCCGCAATGAAACTTTGTTCTCGATTTAATTCAATTTCCTGCCTTTCTACAAATATATATTAGGGACTATGGTGTTAACTAATCCAAGAAAAATGTGTAGTGT